ATGTCTAAAAGTAAACTTTCTTGCTTCTGAAGTTAATATTTGACTTCCAAAGCACAGTTACCTAAGGTCTCCAAGTACTTTAGTAAAATAACTGGTTAGTTACCCCAAGGAAAACAGTCGTAAGGCAGAGACTGCCCTGTGCAGTTTCAGCACCCCAGCCTTTTCAATGTTCTATACTTACCAAGCGTTCAGTCGTTGTACATGGTCCCAAGTCAGCCAGGGAACAGGACCTTATAACCTAACTATTCCTCTTAGGGACTTTTCTAATTTAAAAGGTGCTGAAGAGAAGGCAAAGTCCAATGAAACTGAATTACCATCGGGCAGTATACCCTTGAGCACTGTAGCAGCTGGTTGGCAGGCGTTTGAAGAATGAAGGCTTAAAAAAGCATGAATTCACTCAACGGAAGTGACAATCCACTCTTCATAAGGCATGTACTGTTAGTACTGGTGATTGTAGCTATGCAACACAAAATGATTATGTATTTAGGAATATATAACAGAAAAGTAGAACATATAGCAAGGGAGAAGGGTTTGCTTATAGTAACATATGTAAGTGCAGTGGTTCTCAAACTTCAGTTCACAAAGAATGACCTGGGATAACTGTTAAAATGGAGATTCTCTAACCCCAAAGATTCCCATTCAATAGGGGTGGGCCTGGGAATCTGCATTTAAACAAGCTCCCAGGTGATTCTGATGAAGGTGGTTCAAGGATTACAAATTAAGAAACAGACTGATCTATTGTATTTTCCAGTCCCTAAGTCAAAAAATTCTGCTACGTCTTAGAATTCTAAAGATTGCTCAACTAATAACAGTTAGTCAACAGTTACTCAAGTGATAACTGTTAAATTCATCATGTGCTATTTAGCTCTTAAAAATAATGTAAAAATGGCTCATGCCTATAATCTCAGCACTTTGGGAGGCTGAGGTGGGAGGATTGCTTGAGGCCAGGAGTTAAAGACCAGTCTGGGCAACATAGCAAGACCCTTTCTCTATAGAAAATTTAAAAAAAATTAGCCCGGTGTGATAGCATGGGCCTGTAGTCCCAGCTACTTGGGAGGCTGAGGCAGGAGGATTGCTTGATTTCAGGAATTTGAGGTTGCAGTGAGCTATGATTGAGCCACTACACTCCATCCTGGGATTAAAAAAAAAATTAAACAAAATGGGAACGTAAATAACCCTCGATAATTGATTGGGCCCAGGAGGAAAGGAATAATATAAAACAACTTCTGAAAAAAACAGCTATTCTTAAATAATCACGGTTTTAGTGATAAAGTATGAACTCATTTTCAGTTCAATATATTAATACTTTGATAACTGATGACAGTTATTAGTGGAGTTATATACAGGTTTTTGGAGGAAGGGCCTAAGCCTGAATTTACACCTTAGGCCCTAAGCTGTGAATTCTGACATATTTGGGAAATTCTGGAAGGCCAGTAGGGCAGACCATTGGTACCAGAACCATCTGGCCAACTTCTTTGTGCTGTTTATAACTTGGTTAGGAAGTATTCTCCACTGGGAGGCTTCCTTTCACCTTCTAGAACTGGGTTAGATTCCCTTATATGGGCTTCATAGTATCAGCAGCAAGGCTCAACTCTGAGCCACGATATTCCTTGTGATATACCAGCCACACTGGTACAGTTCTTCAAACACTACAGAACTAATGCTTCAGGGCCTTTGCATATGTGGTCAGTTAATTTTTCATGCTAGCTTCTTTTACATTTTTTAGGTTTCAGCTTAAATGATACCTCTTGGAAACTTTTCTTATCACGCTACTTACCAAGTGTTCAGTCTCATCCTCAACTACTTGTTGTAGTCTCTCGATAACCTGTTTTCTTTCTAACACCTATTACAATTTGCAATTACTTGATCTTTTTTACTCAAATCGTTTTCTGCTCTCCCACTAGAATATAAAATCATGGGACAAGGAATCTGCTTTTCTTACCTCTGACTATCCCACAGTGACCAACACAGACTCTCTCGAAGAGGACTACATCTGTCTGGTTCACCATTGTGTTCTTAGCACCTAGCACACACTGGGGCATTTAATAAATCTTTACTGAATAAATGAACTAACCTATGAGTTCCTTAATAAATACACAGTACATAGAAGTGATCTGAGAGATCAAGGGTTCTCTTCTTTGAGCCTATGTGTTCCTATCACTCAATACTTAGCTTTTATATTGTGAAATATCTCTTTTAGTCACTTCCAATTTGGGAAGTAGAGAGACCCACCAAATAAAACAAAAACAAAAAAGCTCATAATCAAACAATCCAGAAAAACCTTCCCACCGTTACATGTCCTGTGATGTGAGAACAGTGGAATCTTGGTGCCAGCCCTCTTATGCCACAGTGCTCTTAGGAGCATTTCCAGTTTGTCCGTCTTGTGTTTGTAAATAAATAGGTATTACTTGTACTTATATCAGGATAATGAAACCTGGAGTGAAAGACTTTTTTTTCCCCAATAGCCCACAATGACGTGGTTGGCTAGAATAAACCTTTATGGAATATCCTCTTTACCAATATTGTCTGCTTCAGAAAAGCTAATATTGAAACAAAACAAAAATAAAAACCACAACTTATTAGATATAGATGAAACTTTATTTATACATAAAAAATTACATTTCAGGAATTCTCCTTTTCTAAAAACAGTCTTTTAATTGTAAAGCTCAGAATGAAAAGAACCAAAGGGGCAATGAATAGCTTTTTAATTTTGTACATACCATGGTCACAGTTAAACAACTTTTTAAGCTGCCAAAAAATATACCCCTTCCACAGTAGCATGAACCTTTGTAACTGCAGACTCAAATCTCATGATGGCATCAAAAGCCAAAACAAAATAAATTAATATTCTGAAATAGAAGACTGGGCTGTTGATGCTACATGGGTCCTATCTCTAACCACTTCCTCTCATGTTAATTCTTCCTCTTAGGTATAGCTCAATAGAAAACTTTCTGCTAATAATACCTACCATTGCTATAGAAAAAGTGAAAAGAGAAGTGATAAGGGCTTCGTGTAACTACAGTAGTTTAAAAACTCTCCCCTATGAGCCTACATTTCAGAATAATATTAACATTATCTACCCTACATAAGAAACAAAACATGCCATAATGTTTTGGGATCAAATTATTTATACAATAACCATTAATCTATTCTAGAGCATGTAACCCTCAGCACTACGCAAATCTCAACCTCACTTCTAAAATTAAATGTTAGTGATAAATGAAATGTCAAGTGGTTGCTACTTCTAAACAAGATTCAGATTAAAACCTCTCAGGAAGACCATGGCTTTTTTTTTTTTTGAGAGTAGGGCTTAATTTACTATGTTTTACCCAATATGAAAAGATTGAATTTATCTGATAAGGCAGTCTTATTATGGGGGTAGCCAGCATCTCTCACCTTTCGTTCCCCTCCCTATTTCCCCGCCTGCTAAACCCCATAACCCCACCATTTACTTACCAGTAATGTGGTTACTATTTGAAGCATCTAAATCTATCTGAGATGGTAATTTAGAGAGCTGTACAAAATCATATAATTTCAGGCACAATGAACTTAAATGTTACCTTCAAAGGTAAGAATGTTAAAGTATCTGCTCCACTTTATGAACTTAGTGTTGTTTTTCTTCTTCATTTTTAAATTTGAAGAAAGGTCACATTCCTATAAAACTTGGCCAAGAAATGTAGGAAATTAAAAAGTTCTTATTAGAAAAGCATCAACAATCCCAATAGGAGGCTTGATTCAAATAGGCCTTCTGCAGCTGGAAGAGGGAAGGGGATGAAGTGAAGAACACCTTTCCATTCTGTGCAAACAGCTACTTTGCTCTTTTGCTGTCAATGTTGTTGGACTGGGATTATTCTTTCCACGGTGCAAAAAAAACTCTGGAGCTGGCCTTACATTTTTGTTAAAATTGTCTTCAGCTTGGCATAAAAGATCATTAGCTCTAAAGTAGTAGCTCCTGGAAGTCCCAGGCAGAAAGGAGGTTTCTCTCCTTTATGCCAAGGTCATGGACAACTCCAAAGGTGAGGGAAGAAATGGCAAATATGGAACATGGAAATATCCCTATCCTTTTCAGATGAGGAAATTAAAGCAAAAATAAACATCCAAAGATGACATTTTTACTTTAAAAAATACCAATTTCTCAAAAATATATGTTAGGAATTTATATAAGGATAAAGAACTAGAAAACATTTTTTCCTTTCATTGGAAAAAATTTATAGCAAAATTAAATGAACACAATGGAGATACTCTTGTACAAAGTTTTGTGTTCAGAAAATATTACCCATTAAAAATGACATCTTTAGTTAAAAGGTAGCTATGTTCAATTCTGCTTCGACAAGAAGCTTTTTAATTTGCTTAAGAGAATTAATTATTCATCTTAATAGCAATGCTCCTTTAGTTGGCTACTGTTTACACTGATGTCAAGAAAAAAATACACTGTACTGCTATTATTAAAAGAAGAATAATTTGTACCACCATTTGAATGGGTTACTCATTTTCATAAAGCTTACATGAACTGGGAATCAGAATCTTTTCCCAGTAAAACCTCGTGCTTCATCAAAACTAGAGCACAGAACTAGCATGAACAATTGGGGTTAATCTGCAAGAAAATATAACTTACAGAATTTGCCTTTGGGCTTTATTTAACAATAGTTTAATAGTTTAAATAGAAGTTTCTGTTTGACATCCTTAAGAGGCAGTGCTTAAAGCATTACAAACATAATGCTACCAATTAGGGTGGCTATGCCGACAGATTTTCCATTTCCATTTTTGTATTCAAGGATTTATTAGTTCGATTTTTTAAAAAAGGCTGTTCATGATTGATATAAAAGATCTGACCCCAATAAATTAGCTACAAACTGTTAAGTACAGTATATAAATGGGTAAAGTAAGACCATCCCAAAGCAAAGTTCTAGGACTTCAGAAAGATTTGGTTGAGATCATAGAGACTGAGTCTTAAAAGATTTCATACTGTTAACAGTTAATGGCATTATCTTGTCCCTCAGACTGCCTCCCCTAGAAATACTTATTATTAAAGTTAGAAAAATCAAAAGCTTTTCCTTAGCATATGTGATACCCCAGAGAGCTCTCTTTTTGACTTATAAAAAGAAACCCAAAACAAATAAAAAGCCCTGAGTGCTAACACAAGCAACTGGTAACAAAACAGACAAAACTCCACACCCTCTATTTTCACATAAATTTGTATTCACTGGCTGAAGGTTAGAGGGAAAAACCAACCGATCTCAAATTCAAGGATTCGACACACTTACTCTCGGATAGGTTAAGTATATTTGACGAGGAGGTCCAGGCTGTGGTAGAGATTCAGAGGATAGTCCTGACCAGAACTTAGAAGGTACTTGTGAGACACCACAAAGATCACGAGGACCCTCAAAATAATTATTTGAAGGAAAGACCATACTTCCTCAGAAGCCAAAGGCACACAAAACATCCTATTCTACATAACTAACATTAATTTTATGTTTCCACATGACCTTAAAGGACACACAGAGCAAGGTAAGTTTGTATAGTTTCTAAGATTAAAGTAATCTCTAATCTTAAGAAGTCCAAAACAAAGGAATAAAGGTGGACAGACAGACAAGAGTATTCTTCAACTTTTCTTCATTGCACAGGGAAATCCCCCTGAGGTAAGAGTAAGAAAATTCAGTAAGTTGTAAAATATCTCTAAATTTAATTATATTTTCCTTTAAAATCACATTTGAATATTGATATAGGTTTCATACAATTACAAATCATAAAGATTTTAAGAAGCAACCTCAGGTCTTGTATGATTCCTTAATCACCATTACAAACCCTTGTCAGACTGGGCTATATGGAATGGTTCTGCTCCTTAACTTATAGGGGAATTTTCTAAGGAATGAACATTTTAAAATTGTGATTTTGTTTAACAAATTACTAGCAAACCTCCTTTCTTCATTCTTTAACAAAGCACGCATATATAGTCAAAGCTTCAAACGACACTTTCCTTTGCCATTTCTTATAAACTGAATTTTTATTTTAGCATTTTTAATAGCATCATTTTGTTAGGTTATTATGAAGGCAAGACTATTTTTCTAGTAAACCATATTTTTTATCCCACAAGGCAGACTTTACAAAAATCAATTTACTTATAAAAAATTAAATTATAGGTTTAGAATCTACTTTCTAATAAAAGGAAATAGATTTTAGCAAACAATTATTAAAGACAAGGGTATTTAGAAAAGTTCAAACTGCTCAGTATGAAAATATATCTCACTGAAGTATACTTACTTATAAAAACATATTGCCTTTGCCATGTGAAAATCTGGTGTTTAGTTCTCTAGATTTCTTTATTAGGGCTTTTTTCTGAGCTTCATCAAACCGATTAACCTTGAGATCCTTATCACGGTCAAATGGTATTCTCTCTTGAGGCTTATTCTTATCTTCAGCAGCCTTACTCTTTAATTTTTTATGATGAATGTCCATAAGAGATTCTGATCTTTTTGATTCCTGGGGAGAGCAGAAGAGCAGAAATAAAACCTTAGCTTGTTTAGATTACTGACAGCACATGATTACGAAACAGAGTAATTAGATAGTAACGGTGCACATTATGGAGAGCTATTTACAAGCCTCAATATGTTTTTCTAAATCCAAGATAGCATCTATGAAGAAAATATGTATCAGAGGCAAATTCAATTCAATCAAAATGAAGATAGCTACTAACTACATGCCACGCAATAAAAAAAGAACAAGACGGCGAGGAAACAAATATTTAAATAACCATAATGAAAAGTGTATGGTTATTCAAATACTAAAAATTAGAGTACGAACCAAGAACAAGGGTGTGAAAACAAGAGCAATTATATTCTCACTTCATGCACATACTGGTCCTTGAAGCCTACATGGTGTAGGTAGGAAGGGAAGGCACTGCCAGGCTGAAGCAAAAACAAAGGCAAAACAGAAAAACAAGAGCACAGAAGTGGCAAAATCCAAGCTCTGTGCAGGACATGTTGACATGTTCCATAAGCTAAGAGAATTTTTGTTCCTCTCAGTTTTCTGTTCTCTGTTTCCCTTACCTCCCTTATTTTTTCTTTCTTGGGTAGGTTAGGTGTTCATATTTTTAGATATACCTAGTAAGACAAGGTCTGGTTTAGGGATTCATTATAGAGCTCTGAGTACTCATTTAGGTAAAAGACACAATGGCTCTGGATTGCAGGAGCAGGGAGGGGATGGAGGAGTAAACGACGCAGGCAGGACAGACTGGAAGCCTGCAAGCGGGGGCATATGTATCCCTGGGGGTTCCACAGAGTAAATTCCATGGGGTATGAAAGAATGGGCAATTTTAAGGTTACCTCAACTTCTTCATGTAGTCTTTCTGAAAATTATTTGGCCTATAATACATCTTGTGAAGTTGCCTCCCCTTTCATTTTAGCTCTTTCCCATTTACCAAAGGAGACCACAGAATATTGTCCAGGAGAGCAAAAGTCTTCAGGGCACCGAACAAAAAAGTCTGAAATACTGGTATGAATGAAACTTCCTTTAATCGGGAAACTGTAAACCTGGTGGGCGGGCTTTGTGTCCTTCTGTGTTTGAAAACACATTTCTCACAGGAGTGTAGTGTCCTTTAGAAATGGGTATTTTGGCTCTTGTTGGAATGTTATGAATTCAGATTTATTAAAGTATGAGCAAAGGAACAAAGGACAGTTTTTACTTAACAACCACAGCTCTTCCAGGTCCTGCCTACTTGTCAAAGAATACGCTTGAGAGCAAAGAAGTGAAGAAAGCTCAAATAATGAGCAAAATAACAAGGCACTAGTAAGAAATGCTGAAGGTGACAGCATGTTATTTCATCCAGAAGACAAACTCATGGTACCTACCCACCTATGTTAGAATTCAGAAGTGTCATATGAATGATCATTAACACATTTAGCTGAATGGAAAAAAGAGAAGTCAGACTTTGCGACAGAAAGTCTAACTTGGCTGATTTGACAAGAAAAGACTTTGTCAATTAGGTTATGTGGTAGACAAGTGATGTGAATTAAATGAGCTCAATCTGGGGCTGTAAGGTTTTAGCAGAATGTACAAAAGATACTATATCAGTAAATATGTATTTAAATTAGCACTATTTCCCTCTTCCTACCCTTGCTCAGTATACCGAGTTAAACAAAGTACCTCTTAGTCATTTCATAAATCTTAATAAAATCTTAAAGAAACAAACTGATTTGCAAAATCAAGTGCTTTCCAATTCTGTATTTTCAATAAATTGAAGGAGATAAGAAAATCATCAAATATTGCTAGAGGAGACTATAGAATATAGTCTATAAAAATAGGCTATCAATACATAGAGCATGGATAAATAGTTAACAACTCAAGTTCCAACTTCAGAAAAATTTGGGTTGCAATGATGGTCCTGCTGCTTTTAACACTGGTAACCCTGGGCAAATAATCTGTCTCATTTCCTCATCTGTAAAATGGTACTAGTCATGGTAATAATTTCCAATTATTTGAATGAGGGAAGAGTTAAATGATCTAATGAATACAAAGGATTTAGTACAGTGTTGGCTATATAAGAAACACTCAATAAATCCTAAGTATTAGATTTATTGAGCATTTACTATATTGTAATCATCACACTCTCTGTAAATTAAATGTTGTTATTCCCATTATACAGATTTGGAAGGAATGAGAAAACATATTAATAGGACCAAAAAAAAAAAAAAAATCAAAGGAGGTCCTAATGAGTTGACAGTTTAGAGGTCATTGGTAATAATTTTTGTTAGTAGATCAATTTGATGTTTAAGAAAATAATTCAAATTGTTCAAAGATGGGAGCATATATTCAGGGCAACTTGAATCTATGCTCTTGGGAAAAAAAACAAAAAAATTTTTCAAAAAATTGAATGACATCAGTATAATGAAATGTGTTCTATTACCATTTACTTCTTTATGTAAACTTGGTTTCTTATATAAGAAACTTGGTTTCTTTCTATAACTCTGGTTTATAACCAGAGTTATAAAATTAAACAAACAAAAGAATACATTGATGCTGAAACCTGTCCTATTTAGGCAATAAGATCCAGTGACCAGGAACTGACTAGAAAAAAAGTCTTTCATTAAGAGGTTTAAATTAAATTTATATTCTACTTTTCATGCTTAATAATTATTTAATTAAATTATAAATTAAAAATTTACAGCATACTTTCATTATTTTGATCAACTAAAATTACAACTTAATCCTGAAAGAAAAAAAGTTAACATTTAAGGACACAGACACAAGAGATTAAAACTTTTCAATTTCAATTTATGTGCATATTTTAGCTACAGTAAAATATGATTTATCCATATAATCATAAAAGACTTTCAAGCATAAAAGCCAATTCCATTAGGGTAAGATTCTGTATTAGAAGAGAAATGAAATTATGAATTCAAGGAGAAGAAAGGATAAAATTTCCAACTGTTAAGGAAGTGCTTCTTGATATATATTTTTAAATGGATTATAGTAGATATCGAATTGCTATGGCATTTAAGATTCCATATGGAACATTTAATAGAGTAATATAATATGCCATAAATTACATCTTTGGTAACTACTGAAACTTATGATGAAAATTTTTAGATGCCAAGTAAAAAATACATAGTTCTAGGGAATATCAAGCAAAAATACTTGAAGACTACTGATCTCCACCCTTGACTGGAGAAAAAGAAATACAGATTTTTCAGCCCCATTATGGATTTAGTGAATCAAAACTACTAACTGTGGGTCTCAGAATCCTGTTCATTTTTTCACCCAAGTTCTGATATAGGTGACCGATTAGATGTGGAGCCCACCGTGTAGATCATCCTTTCTAGCAGTTTGGTATTAATAGAAGACAGGATGCCAACACAAAGGGGAAGAGGACTAGGGTGAATTCTAACATGGGAAACCATATGTGTAATATAAATATAATGATATATATGTATAAATATAAAAAAGCTATACTATAAAAACTTCATCTTTTAGCACCATTTCTCCACATTTTTCCTCCCTCTCCCCTGCATCCACATCTTTCTCTGCTAATGAAATAAGACCTTAATGAGGTAATAATGATGAAGGCTGACAAGCTAATAGGAGTTGGAAGGGGAGCTGGGAAAACAGAGAACCAAGTCTGGAGCAGATGCCTGGAGATGTGAGAAAGAGTGGAGATGTGGAGGCTCTACTACTTTACCTAAAGCTACTACTGAGGAAAACGGTTTATGATGATGAGCAAAATTGTATAAAAGGTAACAAAACAAACAAAAATGGAGAAATAAAGATGGCAGTTTGCAATTTACTGATTCTTCATATTAGTAAACTAAACATCAATAGAGACAGGAATACATTAAACCACTGGACAATTACAATCAATTCAAACAATCCAAGTGCTCAAATTTATGATGATAAAAGAAATAAGTGTTTATATCAGTTGTTTCAGGTGTACTACTGTTGGTCTGATTTAGCACAGTTTGCACATTGTGACACACAGGACCAAAGTAGTGCTAAACTATCAAAAAATAATAAAAACACCTAGAGGCAGTCAATTTACTGAAAAACATAAACTGAAAGCCACTCCACCTAAAGATCAATTTGCTAAGTGACCAATTTGCTGATTTACCACACTTAAATCACTGAACAAAAATGTTTGAGTTTTCCAACAGTTTATACAATTTAGAGCAATTTATTTTGAATGAGATGGTTTTTTAACAGCTTTTGAAAACTCACGGTAAGTTTCTAGTTGATTGGTTTTTGTATTTTTTTTTTTTTTTTTTTTGAGATGGGGTCTCTGTTGCCCAGGCTAGAGTATAGTGGCACAATCACAGCTCACTGCAGCCTCCAACTCCCAGGCTCAAGTGATCTTCCTGGCGCAGTAGCTGGTACTATAGGCACATGCCCCCACCCCTGGCTAATTTAAAAAAACATTTTTTTCTGTAGAGCTGGGAGTCTTGCTATGTTGCCCAGGCTGGTCTTGAACACCTGGCCTCAAGTGATCCTTCTACCTCAGCCTCCCAAAGTGCTAGGATGACAAGCACGGGCCACCACACCTGGCCTTATTTTATCTTTATTGTATTATTTTAAAGAATGTTCAATTTATCAAAAGTTAAGGGTTATGAAGAGGTTTAATCTTGAGACCATATTAATATCTTGAAAAGTAAATTTCATAGTAAGCAACCAAAATTTCAGTGTAAGATTAGAACTCTAATATTTTGGATGTAGTTTAAAGTAAATTGCAGACATCATTATGTGTCCTCCTAATCAGGATGTATTTCATTAACTAGAGTTCAATACTTGTTTATAATTTTTTTCTTTTAAGATAAATTCACATACAATGAAATATACAAATATTGAGTGTACATTCACTGAGTTTTATAATTCAAGCCCCAGTCAAGATCTGTAACATCTCGATCACTCCAGAAAACTCTGTATGCCATTTCCTAGTCAAACCCACATCCCTACTCCAACAACCACCATTCTGACTTTTTCCCCCCACCATAGATTCATTTTGTTTGTTGCAGAGCTCCATATAAACAGAATAATAAGTACCTACTTGCTTGTGTAAGACTTCTTTCACTTGGCATAATGACACTGGGATTCATCCATGTTGTTGTATTTATTTGTAAGCTGTTTCTTTTTAGTGATGAGTAGTGTTTTATTTTATACCACAGTTTGGTTTATTTTCTCTTATGGATAAACACCTGGGCTGTTTACAGTATCTAGCTATTATAAATAAAGCATCTATGAATATTCTTACATAAATCTTTTTGAGGCTATAATAAATAAAGTATGTTAAAGCATTATTTCAAGGTAAAAGGCTTACCTTATTAATTTTCAGCCATTCTTTTTTATATATAATTCATTATGGATATAAATTTTGCCTCTAAGTATTAATACCACTTCATATGGCATCCCACACATTTTGATATGTTGTATTTTTATCATTGAGGTCTAGGTATTTTCTAACTTCCATTATCATTTCTTCTTTGATGCTAAGTTAAATTTTGAGTTTTTCTGTTTCCAGTTGTATGAGGTTTTTAGGTTTTTTTGTATTTTAAATTCCTTGTGGTCAGAGAATATAATTTGAATGATAATGGTTCATTCAATTTTCTTGATTCTTGACTTTTGAGCTGGTCAGTTTTCATAAATGTTCCATCTGGGTTGAGTTTTCAGGTCAGTTTCCAAAAATGTTTCATGTATGCTTTACTGTTTGTGGTATTGGTCAACATATGGCCAATAAATCAAGCTAACTATATTTTAATATTTATGGAAATTTTCATTAACTAATGCATTGGGAACAGAAAGCAATTTTCCTGAACACCTTTCAGGGACCAATGGGTTCAGTAATTTACATTTATTCTTTCAGCTGGAACATTTACCAGTTTTTCTTTCTTTTTTTTTTTTTAAGAGTAAGAGAGAATATAACAAAAAATGATATGCCAAATGAATACTGATACGTTTAGTTTATTAACTTAGTTAAAATATGTTTAAAAAACATTTTTCTCCCATATTTAAATATTTACATCAAACATTCCAAATCTGTTTATAATTTGAAAACATTACATGAAGGATTTTACGTAAATATATATATATATATATCTATATATATATATATATATATATATATATACATGGAACAGAGTGGAGTGTTTTTCAGGACAGATGTATAAAGAAAAGTCTGAGGTAAAGAGGCAGACACATAAAAAAAAAAGAAATAAGAAAGAGAAAAAATGAGAACTAAAAAATAGAAAAAACAAAAGGCTACATATTTTATTTTCTTACTTACATTATATGAGGATATCTGCTCAGCTAATCTCTTATCTCTTCCTGACAATATATGTTCTTCATCCTTCTTATTGAATGACTTCCTTGCTTCTTGTGTTTCCTGAGAAATGAACACACATAATACATTACTGAATCATATAATTAAGATAAAATAAAAAAGAAATACTACTATTTTTACTTAGATTAAGTAACAAGAGACTAAACTAAGCCAGGCTTGTTGAATCCCTTCCAGTCAGAAATATTAATGTACTTGATAAAGGATCAGTTAGTGTTCTAGTCCATGATTTTCCTGAAAACAAGAAAAAGAAAAAAGAAAACCTTATCCAATCAACCAACTGGAAGAAATCACCTATTTATTTAACTCAGGATGAGCTTGATTAATAAGGATGAAGTGTAGGAGTGAAAATAAGTAAAAAGAAGTTCCACATTATTTGTTATCAAAAATAGTAAAATCACTTTTGAGAGGGGAAAAACAAGAAAAAAAAAAGAAATAAAAGGTGTACATTTTGAAAAAATAAATAAATAAAACTGTCTTTATTCCCAGATCATCTGACTGCCTATGTAGAAAACTCTGAAGGATCTACCAAGAAACTCCTGGAATAGACAAGTATACTAAGCTGCAAGATACAAGGTAAATATACAAAATATACCAGCAATAAACAACTGGAATTTGAAGCAAAACAAAAGTATCATTTACAATAGTACACAGACAAAAATGAAGTGCTTAGGTAAACTTCTAACAAATTTTAATTAGAAAAACATTAGATGTCTTTATCGTAGAATGTTTTGTGCTCTTTTGGGTAGATGCCTAATAGTGCTATTGCTGGATAGAATGGTATTTCTATTTTTAGCTCTCTGAGGTATCTCCAAATTCTTTTCCACAGAGGTTGCACTAATTTGCAGTCCCACCAGCAGTGTAAAAGTGTTCCTGTCATTTCACATCCTCGCCAACATTTGTTGTTTTGTGTTTTTTTGATAGAGGCCAATCTCACCGGGGTTAGGTGATACCTCATTGTGGTTTTGATTTGCATTTCTCTAATGATTAGAGATGTTGAGTATTTTTTCATATGTTTGCTGGCCATTATTCTGTCTTCTTTTGAAAAGTTTCTGTTAAAGATATCTGCACCCGAATGTTTATGGCAGCACAATTCACTATTGCAAGAATGTGGAAACAACCCAAGTGCCCGTCAATCCATGAGTGGATTATCGAAATTTGGTATATGTTTACAATGGAATATTACTCAGTCATAAGAAACGACAGTGATCTAGCACCTCTTATACTTTCCTGGATTAAACTTAAGCCCATTATCCAAAGTGGGGCACCACAAGAGCAGAAGAACAGGATCCATTTGTACTCACCATCAAATTGGAATTAACTAATCAACACATAAATGCACATATAAGAATAACATCTATTGGATGTTGGGCAGGGGGGAGGGGGGAGGAGGGAGGAGGGGACGGGTATTTGTATACACAAGGAGTGCAATGCGCACCACCTGAAGGATGGACATATTTGAAACAAGGACTTGGGGGGGGGGGACCAAGGGCAACATACGTAACCTAAACATCCGTACCCCCATAATATGCTGAAATAAAAGAAAAAGAAAAAAAAAAAAAAGAAAGAAAAAACATTAGAGTGACATTCTAGAGAATATACTCCCATCAGGAATGAGGAAGGCCCACGTAAAAACTACTGGTCTCAAAGCATATTTTTATACTGTTGTTACTTGCTTAGGAAAACTAAGGAGGTCTTCGTACAATGTTTACCTTAATAATAGACTAAAACAACATTGTATTTAATAAAGCATGTTAAAAACATAGGAGTAGCTCATTTCTTATTTTTCTATAAAAATTTCCCCAGAAAACAGATGCTTTTAATTGTAAATATTAAGAGAAAAATGATGTTATGGTAAAATGGAGATAAAAATCTAACCATTCAATATTAACAGGTAGTAGATCTTGTCAGACTGGGAGGTGAGGACGTAACATCTCATTCAATTAATTTAGGCAAAGCACTTTCATTTCTTACTAAAGAGAAATCTTACTTCTTTTAGGCCGTGTTGAATGACTGAATGTGAGAACATCAGAGGTATCAGAGATGTATGTTGGGAAATCAAATATAAAAAGATAAAGTGAGTTAAGAGAAGGAAATCTGGCTAAGATCTGTTACAAAAATTATTCAAGAACTTTACACAGAATCAAAGACACTGGAAAAGGAACAGCTCTGTGATACTACGTAGTTTGTGACATAAGTATAAATCTGTGGTACTATACGCTGTAACACAGTATTACATAAAATTTAAGAGGTATTAATAATCCCTTTATGAGCCCACTATAAACACTGAACAAAACATTTCAGCATGGAAAAAAATGACCAGGTCTAAAGAACACAGTCACAGGAATTAAAATCACTTAAGTTCTAACTATACTGACTGATTTCCATTTGGTCCATTTTTCTATGATATTTTCCTCTGATGACGACTCCCTACAATCTGGCTGTAGGCTACACATCTATTCATCCACAATGAGGAACAGAAGGATAAAACAGAAAACAAATAAATGTAGGCACAAATAAAAAGTCTGTGTAAGCCAGGGAATTAGCTGTCTTTGTGGAGATAATATTCAAGGTTAAATTATAAAAACTCTAATATATTAAAAAAAAAAACAGCTAAGAAAGAATAGACAGGCATTCCAACATTAGCCTTTCAAGGTTTGTGGCTCACTTATATTCCACATCCTTTCTTACCTCTTCTGCCTCCACATGTGTTGGTTTTCCTCACCTTTCTATAATGACTCTAAGATTTCCTTTAATCTTAGAACAAAAGAGAACTTACGGTGTTGCCAAATACACAGGTAGGATGTTAAAATGTGGAGATTTCAACATGCCATCCACATTTTAACACTTTATTTCAAAATCAATTCTCCACTAAAATGAAAACTCCTTAAGGAGCTCTTTCATCTTTCTATCACCTGCAGCCAAACATAATGCCTGGCAGAACAGGTATTCAAATTATAGTTACAGGATTTACAGTTACAGGTTATTAAGTATGAAATGTCTGATTTCCTTTACTACTAAGTTTGATAATTGATATTTCTGCCACTTCATATTGACATTTCTTGCTTTATTTTTATTGTGAAGGTACATCCTCCAGTCTGTCAAATGCATGGTTTGGCTTGTGATTATCTTTCAAATTTTTTTAGAGCAATTTTTGTGAAACCATGGATAAGTCAAAAATTCATGTTATTTTCAAATATGAGTTCAGTTGTGGAATCAATGCAGTGAAGACAGCTCGAAATATCAATGAAGTATTTGGGAAGGATGTGGCTAATGAATGCACAGATGGTTTTGAGAAATTCCATTTTGGTGATTTTAATCTTGAAAATGAGCCAAGTGGGCAACCTGAAACCAAGGTGGATAATGATGAGCTGAAAGGTGTAATGGAAGCGAATCTATCTCAACCTAAATGTGAATTAGCAGCAAGGTTTGATGTTACTATTCCAACAACATTGGATCATTTGAAACAAATTGGCAACATAAAGAAGAAGGATGGATGGGTACTGCATGAATTAAATGAGCGTCAGAGGAGAAATCGTCTAGAAGCTTGCCTTTCTTTGGTGTCACCACATAAAGGCAAACCACTTCTACACTGTATTGTTATGTGTGATGAAAAATTGATTCTTTTTGACAATCACAAGCACTCAGCACGATGGTTGGGAAGTGCTGAAACGTAGTCCCAAACCGAATATTCATCAAAAAAAGCTAACGGTATCTGTTTGGTGATCTAGCACTGGTATTATTCACTATAGCTTCATGAAACCTGGTCGATCGATTACAACAGGTGTCTACTGCAACCAATTAGATGAAATAATGAGCATGCTTGTGATTTAAGCAGCCGAGATTGGTCAATAGAGACAGGTCAATCCTTTTGGAAGACAACGCTTCACCATATGTCATACAAACAACGCTGCACAAACTATAGCAGCTGGACTTGGAAACTCTCTGTCATCCACCGTATTCACGAGACCTTGCACAACTGACTACCACTTCTTCCAGGCTTTGGAACACTTCTTTGCAAGGGAAAAAATTCAGTTCTCAACAAGCTGTGGAAAGTGCCTTTCAGATTTCATCGCCACTCTCTCCAGACTTTTTCACTGCTGGCATAAACAAGCTACCATTAAGATGGCAAAACTGTGTCCATAGTTCAGGCGCATACTTTGATTAATTGTACTGCTTCTTGTTTGAGATATAATAAACTAAACTTCTGATTCAAAATCGGCCATTTTGTATTTAATGACCTAATAGAAATCCTAATAATTCTAGGTACTGAAGAACAAGATAAACAGTTAGTGGGACGAATTAAGTGTGGAAATATTTAGGTCAGAACTGATGAATTTATAACCATAGGATGACAATTAGTAAAGATAGGATATCTTATGGAAATTAAAACCTTTATATGGAGTAAATTTAAGGAGTAGTGCTGGGGATATTGCTTCAATTCCTAACATACAATGAAATATTTCATAATAAATAAAGAACCAAGAAGAGCAAATCAAAATAATAAAATATACATATTTTTGGTAATTTATTTCATGTATTAATGAAGGGACTTCTTGCCTATCTTGATAGTAACATGAAGCTTAATGCACCTCAGATATGGTCACTTTGAGAGAGATTCTCTAGGTATCATTTAATTTGCTAAGTTAACCTGCAGCTTTGGTTTTTTTCAAGCTATTTTAAAACAGCAGACCCCAACCTTTTTACCAGGGACTGGTTTCATGGAATACAATTTTTCCATGGATGGAGGGAGGGGATTGGGGGGTATTTTCGGGATGATTCAAGTGCATTACATTTATTGTGTAGTCAAACCTCTCTGTTAATGATAATCTATATTTGCAGCTGCTCCCCAGCACTAGCATCACCTCCTCAGCTCCACCTCAGATCATCAGGCATTAGATGCTCATATGCAGCGTGCAACCTAGATCCTTTACATGCGCAGTTTATAGTAGGGTTCGTGCTCCTGTGAGAATCTAATGCTGCTGCTGATCTGACAGGAGTGGAGCTTATGTGGTGATGCGAGTGATGGGGAGCGGCTGTAAATACAGATGAAGCTTTGCTTGTTTGCCAACACAACACTCACCTCCTGCTGTGCAGCCCAGTTCCTAACAGGCTATGGACCGATACTGGTTGGTGGCCCACGGGCTTAGGGACTGAAGTTTTAAAAGATACACTTCCATGAAGATAGTATGATGTAAAAAGACCAAGGAATTTGTAGTTAGAAAGGTCTAGAATGGAATTCTTTGTCATCACTTACTAGCTCTGTGACCCTAGAAAAGTTGACCTCCTAGACGTTAGTTCCTCTCTCTATAAAGTAAGGTCAATAAGCCTATGTCTGAGGGTTTTCTTGAAGTTTAAATGAGAAAGTTTACTGGGAAATAGTAACTCAATAGCAAGCAATTAGTGTTACTTTCCTTCCTCATAACTCTCCTTCAGGAAGAATCTGTATTTTCCCTTTGGAATCTTAATTTTGAAAAATAGTACCCATAAATAATTTTGCCTTATATCTAAATCAAGCCAACGTGGACAGAAATATAAGAACAAACAGACAAAAACCTCTCACCTTAGCTTTCCTTTCCCTGTCAGCTGGAGTGTCTGTCCAGACTGATCGATCTCCAGATTTGTCATCAGCTCTTCTCTTAAAAGTTCTTGGCCCAAGACCAAAGTCTTTCATTTCCGGAGGAAGCTCTGTCATCCACGACTCTCTTATAATTGGTTTAGATGAATCCTTTAAGAGAAATAAAAAGTTTTAAATAAATATAGCATGGAAAGTACATATACAATATTGTACAACTGTATGCTGTTTCTCAATTGAGGTTTTAAAGTTACTTAACAGACTCTAATAGAAAAAATTGGTATTTTATTCACATATATTTGTAGTATACATTCCAAATACTTTCATCCAATTTGTTATTCTTTTGACTTTATGTTATCTTTTGCCACACAGAATATTTTTAGTGCACAAATTTGCCAATCTTTTCCTTTATAGTTTCTGGGTTATCAGGCTCCTAAATTTTCTTTATATATCTGTTATGTATGAAAAGTATGTATCAAAAGATATATATATTTAATGTTTATTTCTAAAATTTAGATTTCTAATTTAGTCTATTTCTTAGAGTAAAATGTCTTTAAAACTTACATCATCTCCTTTAGTCAGTTTTTCTTTCATTCTTTGGGCCCTTTTTTCAAACTCTGTTGTTACACTGTAGTTAACTGGTCCTTTTGCAGGCATTGGTCCAACAATGTTCTCATCTTCACTGCTATCTGTTTCCTTTTAAAATAAGACATTACCTTTAAACCAAGAGCAGAGCTATAGGTTATAGAAAATAATCCTAAATTACTTGAATTTAACTAGAACTTATCACTCATTGAAAATAAAACAAAAACACAAACAATGTATTGCTGGCTCATCAATGAACAATGAGGACCTTTTCTTTGACTTCCTCGGGTGCACAATATAGAGTTGTTAAGTCCATGGCATGTGGACTGTCCCACCTCTCTTATGTCCATAGTAGACTTCACTGTCTTCCTGATGGACACAGATGTGGCCTCAGAGTTCTTCTCAACACAGTATTCTAGGTATTTATTACCGATTGGTCAGAGATGATACAGTTAAAACTATTTTCATTGCTGGTACATAAAAAGCTCTTTGGAATAAGAGGTACATAGAAGGGCATTCTTGGGAACTGTATCAGCCTTCATGATTCAGTAGAGTCCACTGAGATAGAAATGCTATGCAATAACTCACAGAACAGATTCAAATGAGTTAATTCAGTACCAAAAGTACCTTCCTTACACCAAAGATAAAAGAGTATTGTAATAATGGAATTCAATTTATTCTTATAAAATCACTTTGTTAAACCATCCCCATGTACGATTCTGTGTTAGGTGCTACATGTGCTATATGCATTAGGTACTAAGGTTTAAAGGTAGTCCTTGTCCTCCGGAGAAGATTTATTAAGATGCATAACAATACCACATTTGTCCTCCTGTTCTGACAGGCAGCTTCTTCCTCTTGTTTTTCCAAACAAGCAGGATCAGGAGTTCATCTGTATTGCTTTCATTTTCCCCACTAACCACCCAATGGTATCTGCGGTTTCTTCTTTGAACCCTTATAGCAATGCTGTCTGAACAATAATTAGACAATTATATATTGGCTTGTGGCTTAGTCTAAATCACACACACACATACACACAGTACTTACGGACTTTGGCATACAACACTTTATTTGATCCTTGTAATAAAACCCTGAAATGGCCTTATTCCTGTGAGGTTTTTTTTTTTTTTTTTTTTGAGGAAACCTAGGCTTAGAGAAGTATATTTAGAAAAAATAAACAACTACTCTGATTTTATAAAATTAGTATTTAAGAATCAAATATTCCAAAATCAAGGCCAGTATTTTTGCTATTTATATGACGGCAGCCCTTCTATTATTTTGTTTATTTCAACTGTTAGGGATTTAACTTTAAGTGTTTATAGTTTATCTCTACAATAGTAGGCTCTTTAATGTCACAGACATTATCTTAAACGTATTTATAACCCCCCGCAAACATAAATATTTGGTGACACAAAACGAACAGTTACAAAAGATACAATGAACACTTAAGACTGTAAGAGACACGGCGCCAATAGAGTGATAGTGTTTAAGATGATGGAATAAGCTAATGCTATTTTTATTTCCATCTAATAAGAGGTGGTTTTACGAAGGTAGAATTTCAACAAGTCTTAGAAGGACTTATGATGTTCATAGACATAAACTAAGCAGGGGGTATGGAGAAGCACACAGAAAATTAGGCCAAACACACTAAACTGAAAAGCAGAAACAGAATCATAAGCCCAAATCCAATCTAGGTATTAAATCATCTTGGTGTCCTAGATGAGTTATTTCTTTCAGTTTTTTTTAAAAGTGCATTATTTTATCCAGAATTACAATAGAAATTATGTACCCTAATGGTTTACAGTTTGGGCTGCAGAGTTAGAGAGACCTAACTTAAGATCTCACTTGCCACCGTAATAGCCCTGTGACCTCAGGCATATTATTTAACCTTTCTAAACCTTGGTTTTCTTGTCTTTTAGACAAGATAACAGCTCCTACCAATAACTAATCTTTTGTCAAGAGAACCCTGCATTTTGTTCATCCTCTCTGGAGCCATACTATTCTCAGGAAACTGGGACTTCCTCTATTGCCTGGGGGAAAAATGACAATAATTCTAAACTAATCACTCTGGTCTCATTCTTCTTGCTCACCTGACTGGTTTAGGCATGGGCACACGATACAATTTTTGTCAAACAAACATGAGGGGAGGTCTACAGGAAACCTTCCAGAAAGGTATTCCTCCCTCTAAAAAGAGGTACAGGAAAAGAACCATTCCCCTCTGTGTCTGAACGCTGCTCACTGCCTGTGAATCTTAGAACGTTGGCAGGCTTCTTGGTGTGATGAAGGCAGTTAGCCTAAGAGGAATTAACATACTGTGGATGACAGAGTAGAAAGACAGAGAAAACTGGAGTCCTTGATGATGTCATCAGGTGGTTGAACTAACCAACCCTGGAATGATCTTACCTCTAGACCTCTTATTATGTATGAAACCACATTTTCCTTATTTTGAGAATACAGACTTTATACCACCAAGGAAATTACATAAACAACCCATTTGCTAACGTACTAGGTTAAGACAAAGTTCTATTTTGAGTTGGATTTTCTGTTATTTGCACATGAAAGCATTCAGTTGATACTCCACCTCCCTCCATTGCTGTCTGGATTAAATTAAGTTTATGCTGGTGCTGTGCTTTGCAGTGTCTGGCTTGTGGTAACAAATGTTAACCATTGGTATTACTGTGTATGTCTTCATTTGGGGGTATATGCTGCAAATGAGACACTAAGAGACATCCCTTTGTGAGAAATGAAAATCGGAAAACTGAAAAAGAAATGTCTTCTGAAAAAGGTTTAGTTAAAGAGAAATTATAAAGCAAACAAACAGAGCCAACAGTACCTCAAACAGGTACACTATGGTGTAATCCCTGTCCCAACCTTTACTCTCACTTTTGCTCAGAGAAGTTAGAGAATGCAGAATGTGTACCACCTAGGAAATAATATAGGCTTCCCATTTGCTAAATAGGTTAGGACAAATTCCAAGTGTGAATAAAGCTGAATTATGCTACTTTTTTGAAAAAGCTTTCTCAACATTTTGAAAAATTTTAAACCTACAGAAAAGTGCTGAGTACAATAAATACTTGTATATCCTCGCTCAGATTTATCAATTGCTAACATATTACCACATTTATCTTTTTTCTTTTTGGAGATAAGGCCTTGCTCTGTTGCCCTGGGTAGAGTATAGTGGCATCATCGTAGCTCACTGCAACCTCAAACTCCTGGGCTCAGGCAATCCCATTGCCTCAGCCTCCCAAGTAGCTGGGATTACAGGTGTGCACCACCACACCCGGCTAATTTTTTCTATTTTTTGTAGAGACACAGTCTTGTTCTTGCTCATACTCCTGAGCTCAAGTGATCCTCCTGCCTTGGCCTCCCTGACTGCTAGGAATACAGGAATGAGCCACCACACCCGGCCTTTTGTGTTTTGTTTTTTTTTTAAGAAACAGGTCTTGCTCTGTCACTCAGGCTAGAGTGCAGTGGTGCAATCATGGCTCATTATAACCTCTAACTTCTGGGCTCAAGCAATTCTCCTGCCTCAGCCTCTTGAGCAGCTGGGACTATAGGCACATACTATCACATCCAACTAATTAAAAAAAATTTTTTTTGTAGAGACAGCGTCTCTCCATGTAACCCAGGTTGGTCTTGAGCTGTTGGTCTCAAGCAATCCTCCCACCTCAGCCTTTTAAAGTGCTGGGATTACAGGTGTGAGCCACTGTACCTGGCCCATCCTTTTGTTTTCTACCTCCTCACTCCCTCTATGAGACAGATAGTTTCTTTTTTTCTGAACCGTTTGAAAGTAGGTTACAGATAGCATGACGAGGCTCCAGACTGAAGCAAATTTCCTTGCCACTTTCCTAGGAACAGTGGGTTACATTTCTCTGGTCCTCTCGTCCTCTTTTTATAGAGCAGAACTTTGAGGCTGTGGGTTTTATGCAGGGGGCTCAATTCAATCTCCTCTGGCTGAGTTAGCCAGAAGCCTAGGCTCCTGTCCCCAGACCCAAATCCTCTAGGGTTTATGACTGGGTTCTCTAAAACTACTGTGGTCCCTGCTGTGTAAACTTGTGCTCTGGCTTTGAATGTTTGCAATGTTACCATACCTGTGGATTTCCTTATCTTCCTTTTGAGCTTAGGTCTGGTCTAACTTGGTTGCTGTCTTTCCCCCAGCACTCCTTTGTGTTTCTGGCAGGGAGAACCTAGCCTGACATGTCAGCTCGGTCTTCCATATGGCTGGAAGTCCCTCCTCCGGTAATTTATCCCTGTATTTAATACCCTTTTTAGAAAGGGTTCCTCATACTTAGCCTATGGCATTCACAGGATGCAACAAGAATAATGATGATAATCGTATTACAAAAGCTATTATAAGTTAAATACACACTATTCTGATTTAATCCTTACAACAACTTACGAGGTAAGTGTAATAACCTGCACGTTACTGATAATGAAACTAAGCTCACCTAGAACCCAAAGCTTGGAGTGGCTCTTGCCTATCTCCTCACCTTCTCTCTCATCATTCTCCTTGCTTTCTCTATTCTAACCACACTGAACTTCTTTAACCCTTTCTACATTCCCTCTTGCCCTTAAATAAGCTATTTGTGCTCTCTGGAACAATGTTTCCTGCCCACTTTGCTGAGCTATCTCCAACTCATCAATCTTTAGTTTAGACATTTTTTTCAGAAAAAAAAGTCCTTTCTCATTTCTTCAGATTAGTTTAGATTCCCCTGCCATGGTTCCATGTATACTTTGTCTTGCCTTTTGAATCATTCACGTTAGAAATGACTTAACGTATGTATTCCCCACTACCTTGTAAGTGCGATGAGGGCAGAGACTGTGTCATGACTTATTCATTTATTGAACAAATATTTATGGATGTCCACTATGTAGCAGGCACTGGTGATAAGACAAAAACCTCTGTTTTTATGGACCCACATTCTAGTGGAGAGAGGCCAACAATAAACAAAAAGAAGCAGTAAAATTAACGGTATCTTCAGTAGTTGTAATAATATGGAAAACTTAAAGGAGGGAAAGGGATAGGAGTAAAGGGTTAGCAAATTTAAATGCGGAGGCCAGAGATGACCACATTGAGAAGATGATAGCTCAGCAAAAAACTGAAGCTTTTGGAGGTCAGGAATGTAGATATTATATCCAGGGAAAGACCATTTGGGATAGACTTGGATGGCAGGATAAATGCTCAGGGGTAGGAGCTGGCCTGGGATATTTGAGGAGGAACAGTAAGGAGCCCAGTGTGGTCATATCAAAGCAAAAGATAATACAGAGTGCTAACAGGGGCCAGACTGTATAGGGTCCTGAAAGGACTCTGGCTTTTACTCAGAAAAAGGAGGTGCAGTTCGATGGCTTTGAGCGTTAGTGACACGATCTGACCTCATTTCATCTGGACCCGTCTAGCAGTTGTTGAGAAGAGGTAGCAGAGGGGTAAGAGCTAAACGAAGCATGAAGACCAGTAAGAGAGGTGAAATATGATGGTCACTTGGACCAGGGTGGGAGCAGAAGTGGTTGGATTCTGGACGTCTTCTGAAGGTAGGAATGACAGAATTTGTCGACAGATTCATTTCTGTGACTATATGCCTGACACATCACAGGTATTCATGATCTCAACCACTGTATTATACTTCCTTTCAGTGACAACCTCAGTGTAAGCATTGAATTCTTAGTGGAGATGAACAGGAGTCTCTTGATTATATGAATTGATACATAGAAAGGTATTGCAGTATACTAGACTGAACAAGTGATTTAAAGTCCTAAGAACTGGGTCTGAGACCTGGATTTGATAAGGAAAATCTGTGTAATCTTGGGTAAGTTACCCAATTTCTTTCGTCTTTAGCATCTGTAAGATGCAGACACTATCTATTTCACAAGGCTATGGGGAAAATGAATTACAAATTATAAAGCACTCTACAAATACCAACTATTGTTAAGGAGAAAAATAGCTTTCATACTTCAAAATCATTGGATCTATCTTTTCATAAATTCACTTATGCACCACTGCATTTGTTATATACAGCTACCAGAGCTCGGCAGAAGAGATTTAATTTCAAAGTAAATTTTTTAATTAAAAAGCTTGTGCGTTTTCTCTCCTCCAGGCAAAATCATAGCAATTCCTTAAACTCTTTCAACACGTTCTATTTCTCTAACACTTTAAAGCCACGCTTCAAAGATAAGAAGCATGAACAAATAACACCCTGTCAACCTTATTATTTTTCTAACAGGATCTCGGGTTTATGAACAGCTTTTGATTTCATCTACTTATGTTCCAATCTTAAATCAATCTGAATATAACTGAGTCTTATGGTTGAGTCAAATGATTGTAGTTACTACATATATAAAGCTTAGAGTTTGTTTGCATCTTATTCTTTAAATAAAAACTTTCCAAACCTTAGAGTTGAAATGTGATACCTGTTGTCCTGGATTGTCTCTGCCCTTGTCACTTTTCTGTGCAGATTTAATGAAACCAGGTGGCAATGCAGGGCCTATTATAGGCCTGAAAAAGAAAATGTTAACTTTATCATTCTCTCTGACTTTAAAAAGCAGTTTTCAGAATAAAAGTTAACAAATATAATGCCAGATAGTAACAAATACTAAAAATAAGAATTTATCTAACACATTTTTTTACTACTATTACCCAGTATTTTTCTACTAAGAGTCTTTTAAAAACCTAATTTTTACATTTTAACTTTCTACTTGTTAGTCAATAATTAGATACTAAGCCAATAATTCTCCATCTTTGTGACACTAGCATATGCCCACTTCCTAAAAAGAACTATATTAAATAAATATGATCATGTTTACAAAATAGTCCTTTTGATGTAAAAGTAAAAACCTGTGAAGTTCTTTTTCTAGTTTGTGTCCTGGCTTCCCTTCAGTTTTGATATTCACTGTCCACTGAAAAATACCTTGGGGGTATTATAATTACAGTCAGAATTACTAAAGCAGAAATTAAGGTCTTCTAAGGACATATATAGCATGTGCATACAATGTCAGCAATCTATGGTACATGTGCCATGGAAGCGTAAAAATCGGTATTTTGTCCTCACCAATAATCTCATGACGTGGAAGTGGAGAAGAATGCAGCTAGTTCATTGAGACCCACGGAAAGAGCAAAAGATGCTGTTCTAACCACATTTCAACCAGTGCAACCTTCTGTTTCCATAAAACCACTCTGGTTGGTGTAAGTTACTCCACCTTCTAGTTGAACAAAATAAAATAATGCCCAAGGTTAACACAACTAGTAAGTGGCCAAGCTGGAGTTTGAACCCTGGTGTACTTGATGCCAAAGTTCATTTTCTTTTGAGCTACCCTATTGCCACATTATGAGGCAACTGTCATCAATTCCAAAAAGAGAATTGCCTCAATACTGGGTCTTAAAGATAGCCTTACTTTATGTAGAGAAAAAATAAAAAGATATTTTCCACTCTCTTTCATACTTTTAAGTTTCTTCATACTTGCTTTTGCACCAGTGTTTTTTCCATAGCTGTCACTGTGCCAGTGTTACCAACCCAGATGGCACTGAAGTCCTAAGCTGAATTTTCCAGGTTGCACTGTGTTCTATTAGAGCTTCACAGACAGGCCTCCTGGCAGGGAAGAACAGTACTGACAGTCAGAAAGTCTGGGTTCTGATCCTGACCATTTAATAACCTCTTGTCCTGTTTCATAAAACCTTTTTGAACAGAATAATTTTTCATCTGAAAGATGGGGAAGTTTGGCATTGTTAGATCAAAGTAGTTATGATTTATAAGCTATAAGGAAGTACAGCATAGGTTTTTTCTGAATACACTTTTTAGCAGATGTACAAATGCAATTATAGCTCAATTATCTTGCCTCAAGGTATCTGAGGAGATAAAGTTATTGGTATATAACATCTTAAAATATAGTAAAGGAATATAACCATAGCATGTTATGGTTGTATAAAAGGTTTCTGACTCCAATATATGATACCAGCTATTTATTTTGCACATATATTTTATTATCGCCAAGACACAGAAAGAAAGAAATTACTAGGCATTTAAGTAATGTGTTTTCTTTTTTCTTTTTTTTTTTTGAGACAGAGTTTCACTGTGTTGCCCAGCTAGAGTGCTGTGGCGTCATCCTAGCTCACAGCAACCTCAAACTCCTGGGCTCAAGTGATCCTTCTGCCTCAGCCTCCCGAGTAGCTGGGACTACAGGCATGCGCCACCATGCCCAGCTAATTTTTTCTATATATTTTTAGTTGTCCAATTAATTTCTTTCTCATTTTAGTAGAGACGGGGTCTCGCTCTTGCTCAGGCTGGTTTCGAACTCCTGAGCTCAAACAATCCGCCCGCCTCGGCCTCCCAGAGAGCTAGGATTACAGGCGTGAGCCACCGCGCCCAGCCTGTAGTAATGTGTTTTCTTAAAAGGAATGTTACATCCCAGGGGTCAGCAAGCTCTCTATAAAGGACCAGATAGTAAATTTTAAGCTTTGAGGGCCACGTTTGGGCCTCTGTGGCACATTTGTCTTTGCTTTTTTAGCTACTCTTTAAAAATGTAAAAATCATTCTTAGCTTGGGGACTATATAAAAACAGGCAGTAGATTGCCTATCTCTGTTATATCTAAAAGGACCAAAGTTATATGGAAATTGGGAGCTGCCAAATGTGATTATAAACGCTTAATATAAAATAAACAACAATCTTTTCTGCTTGTTCTTGTATATTGTATTAATACTATGAATTATAAACAATTTAGTGTGCAATTTCATATTCAGCATTTAAAAATTTTACAATTCTGGGAAGAAGATAGGAATCAATATTTACTATATAGTTAATCTATACCAGGCACCATAAGTTACACACACATGCACACACATGTATGTCTATGTATAATACAAAATCTTAATCATCACAATTCTTAAGGTATGTGTTGTTAGCCTATTTACAGGTAACGACTTTGAGATTCAGAGAAGTTAGTCAAATTGTCTAATTTGGCCAATAGGGATTTGTTTCTTCTATCAATAAATAGTTAAGAAAACAACCGAATTAGAAGTCAGAATATCAGGATTCTAGCCCCAGGTCTACCACCTACTATGTGTGCAACCTTGCTTTTCAAAAATTGGTGGAATGTTCCACCCAGCCTACCACAAAACACTTCTGTGAGTATCAAATAAGAGATGTGGAAATTTTTTATAAACTATAGAAGTATCATAAACAAGTAAATTATTTTTATTATAAGGAAACAACTATTTTTCCCTATAAATGACCCATTTCAAATGTTATTATAAACATATAAGTTAAAAAAACAATTTCAGACAACTCTTTAATGAATTAACATACACTATTTGAAATATTTAGAAAAGACTGGCCTGAAATAGTACACATTATCACCTTGGAGGAGAATCATCCTGCTTTTTAAATCCAGGAGGAAGGGCTGGTCCAAAAAACCCATCATCATCATCGTCATCTTGATTTCTCCTCTGCTTTCTGAAAACACAGTAGTATAATTTTATCTGTGCGTATATGTTAAATTTTTTTCACAAAGAGAAATTTTAACTTTTAAAGGAAGCATTAATTTTAACCAGTTGTGTAGACACTGAAACATTAATCTTACCAAATAAGAAAAAAATGGACACCACAACAGTTCTTAACTTATCTTTTCTTGGAACTTACTTTTGGCTTAAAATTGTTAGAGATTAGTTACTTCTCCATAGCAGTAATATAGCTTTATGATTTATTTAGGCTCTTTAGTCACTTCAATAATACCTTAAGGAAAAATCTTTTATATAAGAATTTTATTGAAATTCTAGATATCACCACAGCTATACACTACTAGAATACATCTTTTTGTAAAAAGTATAGCTCATGATAAAATGCCATACGAAATGATTTCTTCCTGTGCTGTATAAATGCAAGCATGATATCCCCTCATTAGCTATATGTTCCAGCCAGCCTGTACTAAGTTTGAAGCTTGGTTTATTATTTGATTTAATTAAGTGACTGACCTTACAGTTGGACCAGTGTCATCTTCTTCGGATTCTTGATCTCCTTCTTCATACAAAGAACTACTGTCCTCATCGCTGTCTGATGAGTCTGAACTACTACTTTTATAATTAGGGGGCAGAGCTGGTCCTGCAACTAAAGAAGATATGTTGTGTATGTCATAACTAGCCACAACTGTTTCAACGAACCCTCCTATCTGATATTTTTTACTTTCTTTTTGAAATTCACAACACTGCCTATCATTTATTATGGACTTTAATCTCACTTGCTCCTGTTTTACGTACAGTGGTTTTTGTCTTTTCAGCTCCAGGAAGGCAGAAATCATATCTTATACAATCTCTTTTATGAGATTCACAAAAGCTTTGTTAATACTCAAATTATAACAATAGCATATAATTTCCCTGATAATGTACAATTTTTGCATTTGTTGGTGCACCTGTCAAAACAGCTTCATGTGTTTTTTTCTTATAGACAGCATGTGGTAGACAATATTTATGCCACAAAGCTAACCAAACAACAAATTTGCCACTCTATAATGTATCAAAAATCAAAATGATCTATTCTTATTTCTAAGAACAACCACCTAAAAAAATATATTTACTGGCATCAATGTATATTTCTCAGTTTTCAAGATGATTTTTCCTTGAGATCAAGCAGAAACAAAATTAGAATCACTCTAAGTTTTCCTGCTTGCTGGTAGAGATACAGAGAATAAGGCTGCACTGAGATGGGGATGCTGGGGAGAGGATAAGGGTCTTTTGGGCCCTCATCCAAGCGACTTGTTCTCACTTTATGTCTCAGCAGAATTACAAATTCTTGCACGATGTCACTGCATGGTGTCACATAGACACCACCGTCCATGTTGATCCTGGGTAATGAGGCTAAATGGCTACTGCCATAGTTCCCAAGCTTGGATGTTTATCAGACTCAATGAAATATTTTTCTAAAAAAAGATTCCAGGGCCTTCTCCTCAGAGATTCTGATTCAATAAGCCTGGAGGAGGGCCTAGAAATATGATTTTTCCAAAGAGCATCCCAGGTATGGCATTCATTCAATATTAATAGTAACAAAAGCTTACGTATAATAAAGAAAAAACAAATAACATGTTTTGAGTTCTTGTTTTAAGAGATTCACATGCATTAACCTTTTAAATTCTAATCACAACTCTATTAGGAAGGTATAATCACTATTTCTACTTTACAGATGAGAAAACTTAGGCATAGAAAGGTTAAATAACTTGCCTAACTCCACACAACTAAACAGTGAAGCTGGGATATGAACTCAGGAGTCTGATTTCAGAGCCTCAACTACTATCTTAGATTATACCTGACCTCTAACCTCAATGAATAATGTGACCCCATAAGAGACTGGGGGATTACATTTCACAGACAACATCCACCCATCCAACAAGTACTTATTAAGTAAATACTTCCAGAGAAACAAACATGAAAAGAGACAAATAAGATCAATTCAGATAGTCAAAGTGCTGCAATGGAAATAGGAAAAAAGTGACACTGAATATGTGGGAGGGTAATTTTAGACAGTGGTAAGGTAAGGGCCTCTCTGAGAAGACATTTGGATGGAGACTTAAATGATAAGACAACAGTGGCCATGAGGAAAACATTCTAGACAGAGGAATAGCCTGTGCAAAAGTCCTATGGAGACAACAAGCTTGGTATGTTTGAGGGACAAAAAGGCCAGTGTGCCTAAAGCAAAGCAAAATGACAAGATGAAGTTATAAAGGGGTTAGATTATGTGCTTTGGAGTCAAACTCCTTAGCTTTGAATTCCAACATGGCTACTTACTAGCTGTGTGATTTGGATAAGTTACTTAAAATCCTGTGTTACACTCTTGCTTTGTAAAATGAGGTTAATAATACATAGTATCAGCCTCACAGGGCTGTTGCGAAGATTACATTAGTTAATTTATACAAAGCACCTAACAGTATCTGGAATATAGTAGTGTCCAATAAATGCTAATATAAGCTACAATAATGAGTTTGGAGTTTAATTACAACAGGCAGTTGTTGGGAGATTTTGGGTCAGGAGAGATATTACTTGAATTACCTTAAAAAAAAAAACTGTCTACTTTTGGACAACAAACAAGGGGATGAGGAATAGAGGATACTCATTAGAAAGCTGGTAAGACATTGTTTGATTTGCAACACAGTTTGAAGGAAGGGCAAAAAGGACTTACTAATGGTTTTGATGTGAGAGATGCAGGCAAAATTCTACAGTGTGATATAGTGAATATGAAAGCTATTGGTACTGACTTCTTAAAAGTTCAGGCAGAAGAATAATGAGATAAAAATGTTACGTGTAAATTATTTGGCAACTGTTTTACCTACCTAGGAGGTTCTGAAGGGAATAGAATTATAGCAGGTGGGATTATGTATTTAAAAATGGCATACTATGTGTAACATACTGTGATTAATGAAGAGGCAAAGTCATTCAACAAATATCTACCAAAGATCTTGTATGTGCCAGGTAGGTTGGGACTATATTCCTTCAAGGTAGAGGGGAATATATACATCACACATGTACAGTGTTAAGTGTTGGGGGTGGGAGCAGAATGAACACACAAAAGAAACAACAGAGAGTAGATAAAGAAAGGAGTAGCTGAAATCAATGTTGGTAGAATGATGGAAGCAAATCACAGTAGAATTACCTATCTGGGAGATAGTGGTTGCTTATCTGATAATCCTGCCTTGGTTTAAAATCAGAGAATATGGTGAACCAGAAATACTACACATGTAAGGAACACAACTAGATTACTTGGTTAACAACACTTTTCTTCAATCTTAGTTAAAGGGAACTTTCCTTGCTGAAACAAAAGCATGGCTTTTTAAAGGATATAAAAGAAATGAGATCTGGAAGGAAATCTGTAGTAGAAACATGGCCTCCACGTAGTCAAAGAAGGAAAATTAGATTCAGAAATGGTAGGGTTACTCTTTCAGCTTTACCATTCTCCAAACTATAGTGTCAGTCCCAGTCGATAAATTACAACAAACATTAAAGGAGATAGACATAAACGGAAGAATCTGTGAAGCCTTTGTTTGGTATATATTACACAAAGCGCCTACCATGCATTAAGCCCATAGTGCAATGGTGGAGACAGATATGCCAACAAATTATTCAAATACAGTGTATTAAATATGCAATGTAATTAAATAGAAAAAAAACCCGCGGGTAAAAAGAAAGGCTTGACAATGTTGGGAAAGATTGTAAGGGTTTTGTTGAGGTGACATTTAAGTTGGGCCTTGAAAGATGTATAGGAATTTGTCAGTCGTCTAGAAGTTCAACCAGAGGGAGGTCAGAAGAAGCCTAGAGCATTGAGGAACTGCAGAGACACTCCGACTGGTTTGGTACCGGGCTGTGCAATGACAGAATGAGAGGCTACGAAGTCATTCAGGGGCTGGAGAGCACAAGGTGTGCAAGTGTCTCGTATGTCACAAGGCAATATGGCACAGTGGCTAGGAGACCAGCTTCGTTCTCATTCGGGCTCCATCTCTTACAAGCTGTGCGATCTGGGCACCTGCATGGGCCTCAGCGTATCCATTCGCAACATGGGAATAATAGTCTGTTCCTTATACAGGTGCTGGGAGGATTAAATGACTGAATGTGTATCGATCAATGAGCACAGCGTCCGGCTCATATTAGGGGCTAAATGGGAATGTATCGTCATTACAATGATTACCAGTCCAAAGCTCGGTTTCTGAGGAGCCCCCAACGACCTCCTCCCAACTCCTACGGCTTGGGAAGAAAAGTTAGCTCGGGTCGGAGGCGCGCCCACTCCCCACTGCTCCGCCCTCCCAGGCCTCAGATCTTTCCGTAGAGAGCAGGGGCCGGGCCAGAGATGGGGTGGACGGGCCCGGCGGGCAGGAGACACGCCGCCACTTACCTGGGCTGGGATCTCGCTCCTCGTCCTCTGCTGTCCCGCGGGCCTTGAAGCCAGGCGGCAGCGCCGGTCCAATCAGGTCCCTGGCCATCCGCGGTGGCACACACTGGTAACGGATACAAGTTTGTGCACGCACGTCAAATTTAGCCTAAAGACATCCCGCGATCCGCCGCGAAGGCTGGAAGTTTTTCCGGCGCCGATCAATGACGCAGCAGCGTGTGGTTGGCTGAGTCGTGTAGTTTGCGGGAGCGGAAGTGACGCCTAAGGCTTGCTGCACGGTCGCATGCTCGGCTCCGGACATAGTGGATGGCATGGCTCAGCCGGCTAGTGGTTTCGTGAGTCCTACGGGATGGCTTCCGGCTCCCGAGCTGACTCCCACGTTAGGACCCCTGAGCAACACTGCCCAGCTGCCGAACAACTGGATGCTCTGGGGCATGCTGCCGCCACCGCCACCGTCGTCGACTCCTGCAGCCAGGTCAGAGCCTTCCTCGGAGACACAGCGCCGCAGTGATGCCCAGACTCTCTCCGGAGCGCCACCCCCCTTCGACGCCCAGATTCTTCCTGGGGCGCAGCCCCCCTTCGACGCTCAGTCCCCCCTTGATTCTCAGCCTCAACTCAACGGCCAGCCTTCCTGGAATTTCCAGGCTTTGACATCGTGGTACTGGAGACAGTCTCCTAATATTTTTCCTCAGCATCAGAAGTCCTACAACCTTCCCGGTAGGCTATTGTTCCTTGTCGTAGCACCCCTTTACTTTGTTACCCCGTTCTTCCCTCTCCTATTTCTCCCTTTGCTCTCTCCACTCTGCCTTGCATTCTTGGAGTCTGGTCGTTAATGTCTCAAAATATGTTCAACTAGAATATTTTTCCCGCCTGTTTATTCAGTTTAGCAGTTATTTATTGAATTCCAACTATGTACCAGGAACTGGGAATATAGCAGTGAAAAAAGTATACAAAAATCCTTATCATTATGGAGCTCAATATCTCTGTAGTGTAGGAAGACAGACAATAAGCAAAATAAAATATTATGTAATAGAAGGTAATGAGAAGGTAATGCTGTGGAGAAAGTTAAATCAAAGAAGAATGCTAGGTAGTGTAGTTTTTTTTTTTTTTTTTGATACAGAGTCTCACTCTCTTGCCTGGGCTAGAGTGCCGTGGCGTTAGCCTAGCTCACAGCAAACCTCAAACTCCTGGGCTCAAGCGATCCTCCTGCCTCAGCCTCCCGGGTAGCAGGGACTACAGGCATGCGCCACCATGCCCGGCTGATTTTTTGTATTTTTTGTTGTTTGGCTAATTTCTTTCTATTTATAGTAGAGACGGGGTCTCGCTCTTGCTCAGGCTGGTCTCGAACTCCTGAGCTCAAACAATCCACCCACCTCGGCCTCCCAGAGTGCTAGGATTACAGGCGTGAGCCACCACGCCCGGCCTAGGTAGTTTTAAATGTCACTGTTAGTCATAAGGAAGGTGACATTTGAGCGAAGACTTCAGGGAGGTGAGGGATCACAGCCATGTATACATGTGGGAGAGTATGGATACAAGGGGAAGGAACTGCAAGTGCAAAGGCCTGGGGGCAGGAGCTGTACATCAGAATGGGAGCCAGTGGGGCTAGATAGGACTGAGCCTGGGGTACAGTTGTAGAAGAATGGGGAAGAGGGTAAACCTGGTAAGTCCTTGTAGGTAGGCCAGGAGTGGTGGCTCACGCCTGTAATCCTAGCACTATGGGAGGCCGAGGCGGGCCGGATCCTTTGAGCGCAAGAGTTCGAAACCAGCCTGAGCAAGACTGAGACCCCCGTCTCTACTAAAAATAGAAAGAAATTAGCTGGACAACTAAAAATATATGGAAAAAATTAGCCAGGCATGATGGTGCATGCCTCCAGTCCCAGCTACTGGGAGGCTGAGGCAGGAGGATCGCTTGAGCCCAGGAGTTTGAGGTTGCTGTGAGCTAGGCTGACGCCACGGCACTCTAGTCCGGGCAACAGAGTGAGACTCTGTCTCAAAAAAAAAAAAAAAAAGCCCTTGTGGGTAGATCATGGGACTTTGACTGTTCCTGTTGTGAGATGAGTAGTACAGGAGAGTGGCATGACCTGTTTTATGAGGATTAAGAGGATTTATGTGGCTGCCAATGGGAATTGGCAGAAAGGGAGACTAGTTAGGAAGCTATTGCATTTGACCAAGTGAGAAATACTGGGGACTTGGACCAGGTGGAGCTCAGGGGATGGTGAGAAGTAGTTGGATTCTATTATAGATGCAGGCATACCTTGGAGATATTGTAGGTTTGGTTCCAGACCACTACAATAAAGCAAGTCACAAATTTTTTGGTTTCCCAGTGCATATCAAAGTTTATACTAGAGTCCGTTAAGTGTGCAGTAACATGTCTAAAAAATGTATGTACCTTGACTAAAAAATACTTGATTGCTGAAAAATTCCAATGATCATCTGAGCCTTTAGCAAATCATAATCTTTTTGCTGGCAGTTGGTTTTGCCTCCATGTTGATGGCTGCTAATTGATCAGGGTGGTAGTTGCTGAAGGTTGGGGTGGCTGTGGCAGTTTCTTAGATGGCAACGAAATTTGCCTCCTTAATTGAGTCTTCCTTTCACAAAAGATTTCTCTGTAGCATACAATGCCTTTAATAGCATTTTATCCACAGTAGAACTTCTTTGAAAAATTGAAGTCAGTCCTCTCAAACCTTGCCACTGCTTTATTAACTAAATTGTGGAATATTCTAATGTTAAGTAAATTTATGGAATATTCTAAATCCTTTGTTGTCATTTCAACGTTTACAGCATCTTCACCAGTAGTAGATTCCTTCTTAAGAGAGCATTTCCTTTCCTTATGCATAAGAAGCAACTCCTCATTCATTAAAGTGTTATGAGATTATAGCAATTCAGTCATATCTTCAGACTCCACTTCTAATTCTCTTGCTGTTTCCACCACATCTGCAATTACTTCCTTAACTGAAGTCTTTTGAGACAGAGTCTCACTGTGTTGCCTGGGCTAGAGTGAGTGCTGTGGCGTCAGCCTAGCTCACAGCAACCTCAAACTCCTGGGCTCAAGTGATCCTACTGCCCCAGCCTCCCGAGTAGCTGGGACTACAGGCATGCGCCACCATGCCCGGCTAATTTTTTCTACATATTTTAGTTGGCTGATTAATTTCTTTCTAATTTTAGTAGAGGCGGGGTCTCGCTCTTGCTCAGGCTGGTCTCGAACTCCTGAGCTCAAACAATCCGCCCGCCTCGGCCTCCCAGAGAGCTAGGATTACAGGCGTGAGCCACCGCGCCCGGCCTAATGTTGATATTTTGACCTCCTTCCATGAGTCATGAATGTTCTGAATGGCATCTGGAAGGGTGAATCCTTTCTAGAAAGTTTTCAGTTTACTTTGCCCAAATCCATCAGATGAACAGCTGTCTATGGCAGCTGTGATCTCGTGAAGTATGTTTCTTAAAAAATAAGACTTGAAAGTCCAAATTACTCCTTGATCCATGGACTACAGAATGGATGTTGTGTTAGCAGTTATGAAAACATTAATCTCCTTATACATCTCCATCAGAACCCTTGGGTGACCAGGTACATTGTCAATGAATAGTGGTATTTTGAAAAGAATCTTTTTTTTTTTTTGAGGAGTAGGTCTCAACAGTGGGCTTAAAATACTCAGTAAACCATGTCATCCAAACTTTGTTGTTCCATTTATAGAGCACAGGCAGAGTAGATTTAGTCTTATTCTTAAGGGCCCTACTAAATGAGCATTGGCTTTAACTTAAAGTCACCAGAATCACTAGCCCCTGATAAGAGAGTCAGCCTGTCCTTTGAAGCTTTGAAGCCAGGCATTGACTTCTCCTCTCTTGCTATAAAAGTCCTAGATGACATCTTCCAATAGAAGGCTGTTTCATCTACATTGAAAATCTGTTGTTTAGTGTAATCACCTTCATCAATTATCTTAGCTAGATCTTCTGGATAAAATACAGCTGCTTCTTGTCAGTGCTTGTTGCTTCACCCTGCATTTATATGTTATGGAGATGGCTTCATTCCTTAAACCTCATGCTAGCTTCTGTTTATTTTTATATTTTATTTTTTGAGGTGGGATTTCTGTTGCCCAGGCTGGAGTGCAGTGATCATAGCTCACTGATCAAACTCCTGGGCTCCATTGATGCTCCCACCTCAGCCTCCCTAGGAGCTGGGACTACAGGTATGGGACTACCACTCCCAGCTAATTTGCTAGCTTCTAACTTTTTTTCTGCAGCTTCCACACCTCTCTCAGCCTTCATATTATAGAATTAAAGAGAGTTAGGGCCTTGCTCGGGAATAGATTTTGGCTTATCAGCAAAGCCTTTCTTATGATTCGTGTATTCACTGGAGTAGTGCTTTTCATTTCCCTCAAGAACTTTTTCTTTGTATTCACAACTTGGCTAACTTTGGTGCAACAGACCTAGTTTCTGGCCTGTTTTGGCTTCTGACATACCTTCCTCACTAAACTTAATCATTTCTAGCTTTTGGTTTAAGATGAGATATATATGACTCTTCCATTTACTAGAACACTTAGAAGCCATTGTAGAGTTACCAGTTGGCCTAATTTCAATATTGTTGTTTTTCGGTATAGGGAGGCCAGAGGAGAGGGAGAGATGGGGGAATGACTGGTTGGTGGAGCAGTCAGAAAACAGACGTTTATCGATTAAGTTCACCATCCCATACAGGTGTGGTTTGTGATGTCCCAAAACAATTATAGTGGTAACATCAAAGATCACTGATCACAAATCACCATAGTAGATGTAATAATCATGAAGAAGTTTTGACGTAATGAGAGAATTACCAAAGTGTGATGCAGAGACATGAAGTGAGCACATGCTCTTGGAAAAATTGTGCCAATAGACATGCTTAATGCAGGGTTGCCATAAACCTTCAATTTGTAAAAACTGCGATAAAATAAAACGTAATGAAATGAGGTATGCTAGTGTATTTTAAAGGTAGGGCCAATATGATTTGCTGAAAGATAGGCTATGGGATGTGAGATAAAGAGGAGAGAAGGATAATTTAAAGTGTTTTGCCAAACAACTGGAAGGGTGGAGTTGCTGTTAATTGAGGTAGGGAAAAATGTGGATGGAGCAAATTTGGAAGGAAGACCAGGAGTTGAGTTTGGAATATGTTCGTGTCAAGTAGAGATGTTGAATAGGCTTTTAGCTATTGGTCTGTACTTTCAGCGGATATTTGTGGCTGGAGCTATAAATTTGGATGTCATCAGAATATAGATCATATTTACAGCTGCAAGATTATTCATTTAAAACCATTCTCCACGTCTGCATGAGATTCAATTTACATTAAATTAAATCCAAACAATCATTTACTTTGTGCCTGATGCTGGGAATATCAGCATCGGCTAAGTCAGGTGAGCTAGGTTCATAAGCATAAATCACAGTACAGTGTGACAGGTGATAGAGGCATGTATAAAATAGGTAATTACAGAGTGCAGAGGAAATTGGGAAATGCTTTCACAAGAAGTGTCTTGGGAGATGTGTAGGATTTGGGAAGAGATTATTTTTTAGGTAGAGGCAAACAGGTGTCAGTACAAGGCAAGTTCTGGAGATTGCATTGTTCTCGTGACTAACGCAGAGTATATGGAAGGTATGAGGAAGAGTAGGGTAAGAAAATAAACTGGAATCTCATGGAAGGACTCTAGGAAGCTGTCCTAGTCTGTTTTGTTCTTCTATAACAGAATACCACCTACTAAATAATTGATAATGAACAGGAATTTATTTGACACATGGTTCAGGAGGTTGGGAAGTCCAGGATTGAGGGGCCACTCAGGCAAGGGCCTTCTTACTGGAAAGTATCACATGGTGAGAGAGTAAGAGAAGGGGCTGAACATGTCCTTTTATCAAGAATCTATTCCTGAGATAATTATTCCCACTCCCATAATAATGACGTTAATCCATTCATGAGAACAGAGCCCTCATGACCTAATAATCACTTCTCAACACCGCTGCATCAGGGTTTAAGTTTCCCACGCATGAACTTTTGGGGACATATTTGAACCATAGCAGAAGCCATTTGAAGATTTTTGAGCCAGGTTGTGACATGACTGGAGAGTTACTTCTGTGGTTGTCAGTATGCAAGGTCTGTTGGAAGAGAGGACTTAGGCACTGGAAGACAATCTGAAAGCCTGGTATGGTAATCTAGGTGAAAGATCAAGATTTCTAAATTGGGTCATGGCAGTAAGAATGGAAAGGTGCAAGGGGATTTGAGAGGAGATGTATTTCATAAGGTTTTCCTGGTGTGAAATTCATGCTGAAGGAGCTGTATTAGGGATTTTACTGGTTACATTTCTAATATTTGAAATAACCGAAGGAATTTCATCAGGTTAGATTGTCTATTCCTGTACTTAGATGCTGAAAGCATCTATGGACATGTAATCTCAACAGTCTTTATGTGGAAAATATTTATTTGGACCAGGTGCAGTGGCTCACGAATGTAATTCCAGTGCATTGAGAGGCTGAGACTGGAGCATTGCTTGAGGCCAGGAGTTCCAGACCAGCCTAGGCAACATAGTGAGACCCCATCTCTATGAAAAAAAGTAGCCAGGTGTGGTGGCATGTGCCTCTAGTCCTAGCTACTCTGGAGGCTGAGGCTGTGATCGTGCCATTGTACTCCAGCCTGAGGAATAATTCGAGTGAGACGCTGTCTCTAAAAAAAAAAAAAAAAGTGAAATGTTTATCTGGTAGACTAGTCTTTATCTTTCTTAACTTGTTTGTGCTACTATTCTTCCTGAAAGGAGTAGTTGACCAGAGTTTTTACTCAAATATTTGTGACATGTTATGGTAAATAAAATTTAAAATAGTTGTATAGTTGCAAACATTCATGGATCTCTTTTTGTTTTTTAGTTAAACATTCTCATTTTCCACGAAAATATGATGCAAAGTTCACTGCCTTCAACTCACCTCCCAGTAGAAAACAGAAGCGAAAGGTATTTTTAAGATGTTCTTGAATTTGACACTTTGGTCCCATGTCACTGTTTCATATCTTGCATTCTGTCTTAACTGTCTGAGTGTTTTGTGTCCATTGTTGACACAGTGAAACCTTGCTATAAACAGAATTTTTAAAGGATCTTAGCTGTAACTAAAAACTTCAAGCAAAATCTTTTTGAGACATGGAGAAATTATGGAAAAAGAAAGTATTGAATCCGTTTCAATACAGTGTCAGGAGTGAAAATAATTGAGAATTATGATTACAGATAAATGTAAATGTTATTAAACATTCATAAAGTAGGAAAAGTAATATTACTAGCAGGTTGGGAGGGGAGGGATGGAATTTAAGGAGAAGAATAGAAGTCCAAACTTTTTCTGTTATAAAGTTGAAAGCATGGAATTAAGAACAAACTATAATGACACAACTTTTTGATTTTCATGATTTTTTTTTAACATAGAAGGATCTTTTAGGAACAGATATTTCTGCGATAAAAAAGCAGTTCCTGAGACCATTTTCTATATGGTCTAATGTTGTAATTATCTTTTTTGTTTTATGTTTAAGTGTGAAAATAACAAGTTGGAAATCAAAAATAACTAATCTTTACCTAAATGATTCTTCCCCCCCATGATCTAAAAAATACATATAGTTACTTTTCCTAAAAGATGAAATGCTATTTTTATTCTAAATATTTATTTTTAGGTCATCTTGACATATGCTGTACTAAGTCTTAATTAGATTACCAATTTGAAATCTATTGATAGTTTATGTTAGCTCTACTTAGTTTAAAAATTTTTTAAATCATGGATGGCTCTTAACTAATATATTTGCTAAAAATAAAATGAAGAAACAGAATCATCCCTTCATTAGAAATATATTCAGAAATTTCTCCCACATCTAAGGGTAATGTGAAAAATCAAAGTATATATTACTTAGAAGGATAGCTGTATTTTTATTATTGATTGGAGATTTTTTGTCAAAAGTCTAATTCCTCTTTGTTTTTGTTTGCAGAAAAGAAAGGAACCAGTTTTTCACTTTTTCTGTGATACCTGTGATCGTGGTTTTAAAAGTCAAGAAAAGCATGACAGACACATGTCTGAACATATAAAAGTAGGTTCTCTTGGTTGTTAGGAAATTTTTGTAGGAAAATGGCCTTCTATTTGTATATTTGGTAGAAATTCCAAGTTTGTTTTCGTTAAAAGTTTATAGTTTCATAGGAATATAGTTTGATAACTTGACAAATGGAGAGAGTGACCCTGGGATTTGCAGTTTGAGGATGGGGAACCCACTGCTTCTGGAAGAGGTAAGGTGGCCACAAGGACAGGAGATCTGGCAGCTCTCTGTGCACCTCCACTGCTTGGTAAGAGGCTGGGCCTCCGCTCCAGTTGTCCTGTGCAGTTTGCGAGTTCTTTTCCTTTGAAGGCTGCCCTTGACCATTAAACTACACTGTGTAATTTGGCCATGCCTATAAGGATGGTCCAGACCTTATTAAGTACTTTTAAAAATAATTTAACCAGAATGTTTAAAAAGTTAAAAAGAAAATTGTTGGGGTGTGGAAAAGTTCTCTTTCCATTTGTGAGAATGTCCCTCATTCCCATAAAATTAAGAACATTTTACATCATTGCTGATGTCATGCTTTCAATCAAGTGGAGAAGTAAATGAGATGTATTATTATACCATGTATTTTGAGAGTGTCATTCCTTTTTAAATGCAGCTCTGTTTTGGAGTGATCCTTGTTTTGCTGCTGACATAAGTAGGTAGTGATAATGCCACATGGATGGGATATCTATGTAGTGTGGCCAGAATATGTTTGTGTATGTATGGTAGAGTAATTTTAATATGAAGAACATTTGTCTTTTTTTTTAAAATTCTTATAGTGTCCTGAAGTAGATTGCTCTTTTACTGCACATGAGAAGATTGTCCAGTTCCATTGGAGAAATGTAAGTTCTGTTTTTTTTTAACCCTATCTTTTTTTGGTGCATACTCCTTTTATCGATCTGTTATCATCTTAGCTCTTCATTTACATAGCCTAGTAATAAGTAACATTCATGGAGTATTTTGTAAAGAATTTTTACATCTCTTATTCAATTTTATCCTCATGAACAACTATGTGAAGTAAGTAAATATTGGCCCCATTTAACAGATTTAAAAAAAAAATGACTTGCCCGAGGCCTCAGGACTGAATTTTGTACTTGAGTTTCATGACTCCAAATTCTATGCTGTTTTACTACACATGCTGCTTCAAATTGTCATATCTACTCATTTCTTTAGCTATCTCCCTCACTTTTGATTGGTAACTCATTCATTTGAGTATTTAATGTCATTTGAGAAAATGAATGCCATAGATGCTTTGGGTCTAAAATTGTGTTACTCCTTTTTTCCTCTATCAATAGCATTAATCTAAATACATGAGAAATTGTTCTTTTTCCTTTGAAGGAAAAGTCATAAGATGAATAGATAAAAACTGCTTACTTAATTTTAAAATTGTATCCAACGTTAAATTTACTAGTAGAAACAAACTGTCTAAATTAGTGAAAGGTATATGATGTGCTTCCTGATGTTCAGCAGGCTTTTTCTCCCTAGATGCATGCTCCTGGTATGAAGAAGATCAAGTTAGACACTCCAGAGGAGATTGCAAGATGGAGGGAAGAAAGAAGGAAGTGAGTAAAGAGTTCAGAACTAGTGAAATAACTATTTTACAGTGGCAAGGCTTGTTAGTGTAGTTAAATTCATTGAATTCCCTTATAATGTTGGGACTAGGGAGCAGGACTGTAAGCTGTATTATATGAGATTATTACTGAACATAGTTTTGGGGATACCCAGTAGGAATTCTTGATTTAAATAACAAATGTGTTATAATGGCACTGCATGTTATTCTTTGAAGGGAGCTACCACATGTCACCTATTAGATGTTCAGTGGCCGAAGCAGTAATGGGTGGGTGCTCTTATCGAAATACATACTTAGCTATGTTTATTCTTTTGATTGTTTTTTTCAACAAAAAATTGTTGAATGATTGCTGTCTGTTAGGCAAAGGGGGTACAGTGTGAACAAGATATACACATATTTGTCCTTAGCTATGAAAGATCAGGAATTCATTCCTGTAATTAAAGTTTAAGAAATTTGAGCTTTACCATGTGACTTGTGATTTCACATTTATTAAGGAAGAAAGTTTAGTTGATGTCTAGCTATAACATACTTAAGAAAAATCGCACTAGGACACTATTTTACTGTCTTCTCAGAAAGGACCTAGAATACTTTATCCTGAAGCAGAAGACTAAGGCAGAACTATTAGAATGATCAGATGCACTTTTAAAGTCAAATACTGCTTTCCTGGAGTTAAAAAACAAGAAGAACCTGAGATAAAAAAAAATTATCCTTAAAGGTCAAGAAAGATACTTAAAACTCTTTTGAGCAGCAGGTTACATTTGTATTTTGTTCAACTTAGTTTAAGTTTTCAGTTTAAATCCACTTACATTTGGAGTGATGTGCCAGGCGTGAACAAGTTCGGCGCTGCCCTTTAAGGCTTTAACATGAAGATTCAGAACTAACAGAACAAATAGAACTCAGTAAAAGTGTGTATAAATATCAGATCTTAATACTGTGTGCAGAGCAAAGAGTTGGATGAAGGCGAAGGGACAGTTGGAGGAATTTAATTTTAAACAAGTAGGATCAAGCCAGTCAACATGGATTTGGTGGATATTATAGAATTTCAAGAACATCTTTGGCTAACAAATGAAGGAATCTAGGCCACCTGGAGTAGTGTATACTAAAATGCCTTTTTCCCTTTATCTATTTGGCAAAATCTTAATCTTGTAGGCTAAAGGTTTCCTGATTTGTCACTCTCTTCTTACTCTTCATTTCCTCTATATCAGTGCTACCAGAGTGCCTGTCTATAATATCGTAAGGAGCTCGTACCAGAATATAATCAGTACGTTACTTCCTTCATCGAGAAAGTTTTGCTAAGGAAAAAAATGTCAACTGAACTAACGTGCTTAGTGGCATAGTTGATTCATACTCTAGTGTAAGTGTGTGGATTGGCTGCAGATCCCTGAACCAAACTACCCTAAAGCATTATTTACTATGTCTTTGTGAATACATAGCTTAATAATACAACCATGGTAATATTTGTCGTATTACATTATCTTTTGCCCTAGCCTTAGATATCTTTGATTCTGCTGTGCTTTGAACAGTACCTGGAATGTGAAGAATAAATATTTGTTAACTAAATTACTGTTAAGTGATGTCGTGTAGGAAGACTCAGTGTTGGCAGTGATAATGGAGCCTTAGCCAATTGCAAGGTCAAACTTAGAAGTTGAAGAAGTTTGGACCATGTTATAGTTTGAATGTGTTCCTCAAAAATTCACATGTTAGAAACTTGGTCCCTAAATGCAGCAGTGTTGAGAAGTGGAACCTTTAGGAGGTGATTGGGTCTTGAGGGCTCTGCCCTCATGGATGAGTTAATCTGTTCGTAGATGAATGGATTAATAGGTTATTCATGGCATGGGTTAGTTATCACAAGAGTGGGTCTTTCGTAAAAGCCAGTTTTCCTGTCTCCCGTGAGCCCCCTTGTCATGTGATGCCCTGAGCCACCTCAGGACTCTGCAGAGAGTCCCCTCTAGGAAGAAGGCCCTCACTAGATGTGGTCCCTCAGCTTTGGATTTCCTACCCTCCAGAACTGTAGGAAATAAATTTCTTTTCCTTATAAATTACCCAGTCTCAAGTATTCAGTTACAGCAACATAAAATAGACTAAGACAGACCATGAAGTATTATAGTTTGACTTAGTGAAGAATTTATCTGTTGGTTATATCTTTTTCTTTTTTTGCACAGAGGAATAATCAAACAAGAAGTGTTAATTTTACTTCCTGTCTGATACATAGGTTTTAGAGAACTGACGATGGTGTTATCGAAGATTGTATCCTGCTAGATGGGATGGAAATGGCCTAACTGCTAAGACACTAGGGTTTTTTCCCCAATTACTTAGTCCTGACTTTCATCAATTGGAGGTCAGTGCAGCTCAGTGGTGCCAGCCCCTTTTATAAATGTTTAATTCTCTTGAGGGGAATGATAGTGGTTACTACTCAGCACTGATTAATAAAGCTGCTAAGATGTTATCTAAGTAGACTGTTGTTGAATCTCTGAAGTTTTGAGTTCACTTAAGGCTACAAGGTCTCAAATGACTCCTGATCTGCCAACTTTGGTCCTTTTATTTCTAGTAGTTGTATAAATTAAGTGGTTGTATAAACTGGGAAACATGGAACCACTATTAATGGCAAACAACTTCAACAGCTCTATTTTTTCTGTCTGTAGCTATTTCACTCTCCCACAATGCTCTACTCTTTCCTCCTCAGCATGTATGAGGAAAAGACCTAGTCTAGTATGGTAGATTAGGGTGTTCCATGCCATAAAGAGGTTGCGCTGAATTAGAACTAACTAGGGAAAGATAGGGGGAGGCAGGGATTAGTAGTCAGGCAGAGGTTGGCATGTTCAAGTAAGTGAATATAGGTAAGAGTATAGGTAAGAGAGGTGAGCTTTAAAAAGATGGCAGTTGTGGGGATGGAAAGAACTATATTTGGGAAAGAACTCCCAAATAGAACATTTGGGTGATGAAAATGGGCAATATTTGCTGATTAAATGATTATGAGGTTGAGTAGGGGAGAAATTTTGAGGAGAACCCAAGTTGCTAGTGTGAGTACCTCTGTGAAAGGTGGTGCCTTTTACTAAGATGGGGAAGAGGACAAGGTTTGGTGGTATTGATTTTGGACATTGTTGAGTGTGAGGAGATCCTGAGATATCTATTATATTGGAAGATGTTGAGTAGGCATTGGGACTCGGACTGGGGATAGTTGTTTTTGAATCATGAAACTGTAAATGTGGAAGAGATGCCCCACAGAGAGAGAGTGGAGGGAAAAGACAAGGTAGCCTAACATTGAACCTTGCTTGAGTCTTCCAACATTTAAAGGTCTAATAGAGAGTAAAAGCCAGCAAGACTGCTGAGTGGGAGCCAGAGAAGAAGAAAACTAGGACTATGGTATGTCATGGAAGCCAATGGAGGGGAGAATTTCAAGAAGGAAGATATAGTTAGCAGTGCAGATTGCAATGGAAAGGTCACGTAAAACAATAACAAAAAGTGACTGCTTTTGTGACATATGTAGGGCCTCCTTGATGGTGATTCCAGATGATTACTCTTCGGCCTTTCTCTGAGCTTCCTGCCATATGTCTATATAGCTCTCTTCAATTCTAACACCTCCCTAGTGATTCTTAAGAGGGGTCGTCTTTGCTACCTCCTTTTGGCACGTTAGATGCTGCAATGGAAATGTCTATACTTTGAATTCATTCAGCACCTTTTACCGAAACTTTCCATGGTCTTTCACCGCCATGCAGTTTCAGCCACTTACTTTCATGACCACACCCTGGATTTTGCAGTTGGACACACTCCTCTTTGAGCATCACTTCCCATCCATCCTGCTTACCGTCCCCTCTACCTGGGCTTTGAGTAATAGAGGCTTCCCATCCCTTAACTCCTTTACGTCTCTTTCTGTCACTCGCCTTCTGCCTTCGCTTCTCTACCCAGCGTGGCTCACTGCAGCCACTCTTGTCACTGTCTCAGTTCCTTTATTCCGTCATCCTTCATTGTCCCCGCCTGGCAGAATCCCAGCTCTGGCTCAGTTGCTAAGTCCTGCTTAAGAAAAACCACACTTTTTTTTTTTTTTTAATTGAGATGTACTCTGCAGGTGAATATTCAGCAGTGCCATCCGACTTAAGGAAGTGACTTGACTACTGAGAAATTTAGGATTTTTTTTGTATTCTTTGTTCAAAATTAGATATCCAATATACATATATTTCTTACTTATATAGGTGACTGTAGTATAAAATTTAATAGTTTATTAAACTGATTTTATTTTAATCAGCTAAAATGCCAATGAAAACAAAACTTCTTAGAACTGGCAGTCAGGATTCTACAATGTGGGTTTAACTTACCTTTTCTGGTTGTTTCCACGTTATTTACTTAGAGGAGCTTTTTCTCTCACTGAGACTTGTTATTTCTATCTCACACTGGGTTTGTGACCTTTTTGCCCTCTTAGTTTTGCTCATGCTGCTGCTTCTAGAAAATTTTACCTTCTCTTATCTTTGAAATTCTTCTCACTGCTCTTAGCCCAGCTGAAATCCTGCCCGCTTTGGGGATATTTTTCCTCATCACCCTAGAAGAATTTTTTGCTATTCTTTGAATGCTATATCCCCTCTCTGCCTCTTTAAGATAGATGTCCTTTATTATGGCTCTGTTGGTGAACTTCTTTGCATATATATATTTTATTCTTGAATTAAGTGTAAGCCTTAGAAATGTAAGAACCATCTTTTACATGGCTGTTTATATTCCATGTTGCCATAGATACAGGTATAGGGGATGCTTATAAATGTTCATGTATTATAAATGGGGCTTGAAAATATTTTTATTATGGATGTAATTCTATTTCGGTACACACAAGTAAATGATTGAAGAAATCTTGCTGAGACTTGTATTTTTAAGTCATGTTTTGAACTCTACCTTTGTTTTTAGAGAAATTGGGTAGAAATGTGTTGCTCTGATTAATAATTATCACTGGAAATCAGTAGTGTAAATAATAGTATTTAAACTGCCGTGGTTTTGAACATCATCTTC